CATTGTTGGTCAAAGTTTAGACTGGTGCAATCACTGTGGAAATCAGTGTAGAGATTCCTCAAAAAACTAGGATTAGGAGTCCAATTTGACCCACCCATTCCTCTTCTGGGTATTTTACCAGAAGACTTGAAAGTGTCATACTACAGCAATATATGTGCACCCATGTGCTGCACAATGTGTAATAGCCAGATCTTGGAAACAATCCAAATGCCCATTAACCAAGAATAGAAAAGATGTGGTATTTTTATACAATGGAATAATACTCAGCTATAAAGAAGGATAAAGTAGAGGGTTTTATGGTGAATGAATGCAACTAGAGACCATACTCATTAGTGAAATAAATCAGACTCACACATGTAAACACCGTATTGTCTCATTGATACAAGAAACTGAAAGAAAGAACCAAAAGTTACAATAGACATAGTGAAAGGGAAAGAAACTTCTGAAAAGGAAATCATACAGTTTAATCATCGTTACATGCCTGCATCTGGAACCTGGGCAAATATTTTGAAGATAACAATATGCAATATAACAACAATTGTTAAATTCTTATCTTGTTCTGAAATCCTATATCACTGTTGTTTTTGCTCTTCTTGTCATTGTCATTTGGCTTTTGTTGTTTTTTGTTGAGTTTTTGTGCTTTATCCTTTCTAAAATAAAAAATGTAATCTTTTTATACATTTGAATACTACTCAGTCAGAAAGAATAAGTGAGACTTTTATAGGTAATGGATGCAACTTGAGACCATAGTCATAAGTGAAATACACACACGTTGAAACATCATATTGTCTCAGAATGTATAATAGATACTGTGAATGGGAAGAAATTGTTCAAAAGGAAAAAAGAGCTAGGATGGGGGGGAGGAAAGGAAGGAAGGTAAAAGGAAAAAAAACAAAATACAAAATAGTTATGCTACTAGTTTCTCTGAGTTCACTGAAAAGAAAATTTTGTGCTAGTATCATCTGGAGACTTTTTTATGCCCATATCTTGTATTCTAATTAACTACTTTAAAGATAATAATACTCTGCATTAACTATTATTTTCCTATTTTATCATGAAATTTTATTTTACTGTTTCAGCACACAGATGGACATGAAGTACGTGAAAAATATTTAGTCTCACTAGTCATCAGGAAAATTCAAATCAAGTCACAGTGAGGTATCATTTCACCCAAGTTAGAATAGCCACTATAAAAGAAAAAAAAAACATAATTGCTGGTGAGAATGCAGAGAAAGAAGAACTCTTGTACACCATTCATGGGGGAGGGCTGTATATACCCTACAGAAAACAGCACATCGAGTCCTCAAAAAGAAAAACACTAAAAATAGAACTACCATATGATGTGGTGCCACTCACAATAGATAAAATATACTCAACCAAGATGCTTATCAGTGGATGAACAGATTTTTAAAAGTTATGTGTATACACAATAAAGTGGTATTCCATCACAGGAAAAACAAAACCTTTCATTTGCAGTAACATGGATGGAACTGGAGGTCATTATGTTAAAGAAACATATCAGACCCTGAAAAACAAATATCACATATTCTCACACATTTGTAGAAACTAGTAGTCAACCTAGTAGAAGCAAAAAATGGAATAGTGGTAACTAGAAACAGGGGGAGGAGAAATAGGAAAGAAGTTCAATTAAGGTCGCCAAAGCAGAGATAGGAGAAATTAATTGTTTCTTACAGACAGCCTGGTAGCTATTGGTTAAAACAATCCATAATATATCTACAATACATATGCATGAGCTTATGGCAAGGAACTCCACCCTCTACTGGAACAACACAGAAGCACCAAACATCAAGTTGAACACAGGCTTTTACCATAATCTAGTTCAAAAATAATAGCAGATCCACTCATAAGGTCACTACTCCCATAGCCTAATCACCCCTTAAGGTATTACGTCTTAATATCATTACGAAGATAATTCAATTTCAACACACATTTGGGAGGGAACAAAACTCTTACATACTCGTTAAGTTCTTTGGGTTGAGAAAAATAAAAGTAACCATGGCATTTCTTGAGTGTTTACGGTATTTTAGGACCTGATGTTCTACATGCAACTCAATCTTTTTGACATCTCACAGGATGTCACCATTTCTATTTGATGGGAGAAATTAAAATTTAGTTAGGGATACTAGTTACAAATGACCACATAGCTGGTATATTTCAATTCAGTTCTTCCAACCCCACAGTCTGTGCTCCTAGTCACCAAATTACAGATTTTTCAAGCTCATTTAGCTTCTGTTAAAGCAGGAATATTATTTACCTTCTTAGAAAGTTTTGATAGTACCTTATTGCCTACAACAGTGTTTCTCAAAGCTGACATCATGTGTCAACCAAATTCAGCCACTCACTATTGCCCAAAAAGTCTCAGATTCCTTCCTCTGTGCTTATTTCCCTAGCTTGAAAATCATTCTGCTATCTAAAAGTACATTCCCCATCTTAAGAAACTAGCCAAGGACACCTCTCCTCTAGAGCCATCTGTGACCACTTCAGCCCCACTATAGTTTCTTGAAAATTTTTTCTATTCCCTGGGCTTTAAAATGCCTATCTTTCATTCTGTATATGTTGTATTAGTCAAGATTCCAACAAAAAACACATTTCTATCGGCATAACTGGAAAAGCATTTAATAGATTTTAAAAGGTGTGGGAAGGCTAAGGAATCTGCAGCCGCTGGTACGAAACCCACCTGGGAACAGAGGATCTTCTAACCACTTCTCGGCCTAAAAAGGATGAAAATGGGGAACCCATTGTAGACAGTATCCTGAGAGCACCATTATACAGAAGCTGAGATACTCAGTTAAGAAATTAGCTTCCCTGGATAGGAGACACAGCTAATAAATATCTCAGTTTGCCCTTGTTTGTTTCTTTCCCATCTCTCCACCGGCAGAATTCAATCAGATTTTAGGAAGCTCACTGCCGTAGGCCAGAAATTCTCAAATTTTAATAGCCATCCTGATCACCCGCAGGGCTATTGAAACAGATCCCACACACATCACAGAGTCTCTGATGCAGCTGCTCTAGGGTGAGACTCAAGAAGATCACAGGAGGTGCTACGAAGACCCCAATCCCAGGACACAGTGACAAACATAGTCATGGAGCGTGGCATCAGCCAGCTTCCTAGCATTACAGAGCAGCCGGGAGAAGTGAAATGTTGATCTGGAGGAAAGAAAGAAGCTATCCGCCATATAGCAAATCTATGCCCTGGACCAGGGGTCAGCAAAATTTCCTGTAAATGATCACATGGTCAAACTTTTAGACTCTTCCAGCCTTATTGCCTGTTATTACTAACAAGTTCCTGGTTTACGTTTGCATTTTCAATTCTTTAGTGGTGAAGAAGCTATTGACTATTTCCATTCAATAAAAACTTCTTGGAATTTTGAATGTGACCTTTTCCCAGGCTAGTACTATGTAGATCCATACTCTCTAAAGATGCTGAGCAGTGGCAGCAAACTACAGATCTCCATTGACCACTCAGTTATGAAGATAAATAACCGATACTCTGGTCCAAGTTGCTGAAATATGCTCAGTAAGTTACATTAAACACTTTTTCAATGTATGGTATTTTCAACTTCTGAAAGATTTACTGGGCTGTAACCTTATCCTAAACAGAGAATCTCTATTTGACTCTATTATAGCACAAAAACAGTCACAGACAATGGGTGAATAAATGAGCATGGCTGTGCTCCAATTCAACTTTCTCTATAAATAAGTTCTACCGTAAACTCATTTGTCACATCTACCTTTCAAAAATACAACCAGAATCACTCACTGAATATTCACATGCCAAATCCAGGAACTTTGTTCCCATTATCTTTTTGCTTCAAGGAAAGTTAGACTTGATCTGTTCTGGGTAGGATCAGCACTCGGGAAGCTCTCAGTTTAGCTTTGCAGCAAATTTTTTATGTCTGCTACATTCAAGAACCATGCAAGTCATCCAGGAGCCAGGGATGAATGATATCTTCAATTTCCTAGCATTTTAGAATTAACTTGCTAATGAGAAGGTGTCAGTTAACATTTTCAGGTTGCTAGCAAGAGACATGACTTAAATAACAAAAAGTAACAAAAAAATTTTAAATATATTAAGAGAATACTGAAATGCCAGTTAGGCTTACAGGACAAACAGATCAGTCATTCCTCAGGAAGGACAGCAACAGAATAAGCTTCCACAAAAGCAGCCAAGGCACAGTCCTACCAGATTCTCTTGTAATTCTGCCTTGGAAGAGGCCCCAGTGTAAGTATTATTCAAACCTCCCCAGATGGGTCTTATTAACTGTGGCTGCTAACTATAGTACTTCTCTCTTAAGCACAGTTGTTTTGCTTTTTTCCCTATTTTGGTCTGGTTTTTAATATTATTGACTCTTGATCAAATTATCATACATTTTCTAAAATCACTCTAATTGCCCTATCCCCCACCAATTATAACAGGTGGGCAGCAATGTGCCCCGTGTTTATCTTTCCAAAGAATTAGCTGGTGTCTATCTCAAGTACATCACATGACTTCCTGTGCTGTAGACAAGGGGGATATATGTTAATTATGCTTCCTTGAGATAAGGAAAGGAGGCTCAGAAATGGGATGTACCCATATTCGCCCAACAAGTACATGACAAGAATGAATCCTGCTATCCATAAGGAAGTTGTTCTCCAACCTCAGAGTGACTTAGATGCACCAGGATACTCACTCCCAGGCAGTGCCGTTGGCTTTCACCCCAGAAGTTCTGATTCAGTAAGTCTTGAATAGGGCACAAATATCTACATTATAACCAAGGCAATTATGACACGCATGGGCCCAAAAGCACAGTTCATGAAACACTATTGAGGAAATAATCTTTAATCTATGACCGAATGTTATTCTTCCCAGAAGCAAAGGAGAAGATCAGCAGATCTAAGTCAAGACCTGTATCAGGTGGGGTCACTAGAGGAATGGATTTAATATAAAATATGTGATATATATATATATATATATATATGGATTTGCAAGGTAGGCTTACAATGGCTGCCTCCTGAATCAGCTGCGGAAAGGTACACAGTGTCCACCTGTGCAGTAGTGCACTGAAGGAACCAGTCAAAAGTCGAAGGCCTGGAGCTCACTGCAGTCCTAAACAAGTCCAAGAAGCAAAAGCATCTGCACGGGAAGCCTACAGATACATAAGCGTAGGCAATGGTAAAGACTGGAACTCTTCTGAAGCACAAGCAACCCTGTCTTCTTTTTAAATTTCACCCAGGCTGTAAGCCTATTGGTTGGTTGCACCCCTAGGTGGGTCTTCCGGCCTCAGTGAGCCAATTATCCACAGGCTCAGGACTCTGCTAAACCAATCAGCTAGGTGCTTCTTACTAAACTTGACACCATAGCTCCCTATCACAAGAGCCTTTCTGCATTCATAGTACTTTTTATTTGATTTGTCCTTCATTCTCTTATTCCCTGCCAATGTTATTTTCTAGAGAAGTAATAATAAATGGCAAACTGCTGACCAGCAGAAGTCAATGAATCTTAAGTTCAGCATTCCAAAGTGGATAAACCTGTAGTGGTTTCTTAGTGCTTTAGATTAAGAAGCAATGAGATTGCACTCAGACATAGCAGGAAAAAACCAGACTGTGGTCAGTTAGTGATGTCTGCTGTGGACATAGGATTTCGGCAGCCCTAGATAGTAATTTATTTTCCAGTTTTATTTAGCTAATATTTCTACAGCGAGAAACTTAGTTTCTGACCACAGATAATGAGAAGTGATTTTTTTAAAACTGATTCCATGCTGCCCATAAAATATGTGCTCCTCCTGAGATATTCAGGATGCCATGATTCAAATGTAAATAGCCCCTAAAATCCATCAATGTCTGGGTGGCTGATTGAGCACCATGGACTATAATAGTGTCCCTTTTCTGATCTTCAGGCATTTTTTTTATTTTTGTGAGCTGATGAATTACCACAGTAAGGGGACTTTCTCATACATTCTGCTCATGATAACGGATGAGGTGTGAAATCAATTCTGAACACCTAGGAGGCCTATGATTTATCATCATACATTAGACCTTGGGGAGTTTTATTGGATGAATCTCAGTTGCACTCAGAATCCAACCACACTCCCAGAAAAAGAACATTTAGTGACTCCAGATATATCAAATATAGATGTTTCACCTCTAACATCCATACGGGTCTCTTTTTCACTCATTGAATCAATGAATGTCACCTGAACCCCTAATAGGCACTAGGTGCTATTGCAGGAACTGTAACTATTGCAATGCACAGAAGAAACAAGGTGTCTTTAGACTCCGTTATCCCTAGAGCTGACTCCCCTCCCTGATCATAACTTATGCTCACTACTGGGCAAACAGCCTGGTACCCAGGGAACAACACTGAAGGTGGACACCATCCCATACTCTTCTGGACTGCAGAAACTTGCAAGAGCTAACCTGCCAATAGCTAACACCTTTATCATGACTTATATTCTGTCAGTACAAGGATCAAGGCTACTCCCATGAAAATATCTAACGGAGGTGTATTTTGAATAAACCACTAACCAAGCCGCTAATTTCAACGGAAGCTTCAGACAGTAAGTGGACATGGGTAGGAGACACCTGGAAAGAATTCTCTCTTCTCACAGGAAGTCCTAAAATGATATTCTCAGCACAAGTTTGAGTTTGGGAAATGGCAGGTCAGACATCAAAATCATATCCTAAAGTAGTTAGATGGGCTTTTTGTTTTGTTTTTATTTTTTCTTTTAATAAACACCCGTACGTCAGTGTTCCTCCACAGCTGCTGCTTCTTGTGAAGGTTTGGGTTAGGCTCCAGGTATAGCCATTTTGAAGTATGCAGCAATGATTCTACAGTCCACATAGATTTAGGGTAGATCTCTTTCAAAATATAAGGTACCAGTTTTGTTCACAGTTCAGGGAATGTAAACCCACTGGACTGGAAATCAGGAAACTTGAATTCTGGTCCTGAAGTTTTTCTTGAATCAGCTACGTTACCTCAGGCTTCAGCTCTCTGGGCCCTTGCTTCATTATACAATGAGGGGGAAAGGAGAACATGATTTCTAAAATGTCTAAAAGAGTTTAGATAATGCAGCTGTGTTTTTTCCACATTTGTGGGCCACTTTCAGACAATAATTGATTAACCGCCAGTATAAATTATCACTGCTAAACAGTTCTAACAGGAAAGTAATGCATATTTAAAACACGTTAGTATACCAGAGCACTCTACAGCATACTTAAGTGTCTTTGGGATCCTTAGTTAAGCTTCGAGGTGTTCAGTGAGCAGTTTTCATACACCCCTCAATAGTAAACTCACCTTGCAACTAGTGCTCATCATGCTGTCTTCTGCTTCCTGCCTCTGTACCCCAAAAGATGGTATATATGCAAAATTGGGTGGCTGATACTGGTTTTCTCAAACAATGTACCTATATGTTTATTTTTCTCATTAAGAATCTAGAAGCGTGTCTTCATATAGACTTGCAATTGACTGGCTTTTTGCTTAATCATTTCCATTTGGTTAATACACTTGCAGTTTCATTCTGATTCCCTGCCTCCCTATACCACTCCCATAGATCTGCATGCAAATAGTCTCTGTACTAATGGCTAAGACACACACCAGAGTGTGAGCAGTGAGATGTTTATGTCTATTACTTTTCCATAAATATTATTAACTCCTTAAATACTGATGCATGAGATAACAATCTAGTTTTCTTGCCCTTTCAAACTAATTAGTCACATACCTATCCCCAGCCAAACTGCTGTCCAAATAAACAGGGTAATTCTCTGGGAATTCATCAGCCCACAGTTGAGTCAGTCCATGGCCATCTTTGGAATGGGGCTTCCATTTTGTCACTCCCCTAGAGTTATAGCATGTTAGAAAAATGAGTCTCAAAACAGTTTGATGATAAGAATCTTACAGAGATGTGGCAATTATTTTCCCACATCTGTGTCCTGCTTTCTACTGTCAAATCTGAAAGCCTACACATTACATTTCCCTGATTCTCATACCAGGACTCTTGGATGAGTTCAGCCAGTGTGCACCATCCTAAAAGGCTGAAGGAAAAAAACCATCCAGGGCCCAGTATCAGGAGAAGGGGTGCCTCTCCGGGGATCCAGCCGCTGCAGCATGGCATATCTCCCTCTAAGGCCCCAGGACCACCCACGTAGGCCTCAAACAAGCAGCCTCCTCATCAGACAGCTCCTTCTGTTTCATCCCACCATATTCCTTTTCCTTCTGCCCCTCCTGCCCTCCTCACAACTGTACAACTATGACACATTGGGCAATCTCCCTTTATGGGGGGGACATATTGCAAGACCCCCAGGGAGTACCTAAATTTGTAAATAGTACCAAATCCTGTATATACTATGTTTTCCCTTCATACATATATCATCATAAACTTTAATTTATAAATTAGACACAGTAAAAGATTAACAACTAAGAGCTAAATGGATCACTAATGGAGAACTTTCACCTCTTCACCTTGGCTGGAAATGTGACAGCAGTTTCTTCATTGTTCATTGGCAGATACAGCCCCTCAGTGGTTTTTATATTTTTCAGTCCAAATCTATTCTTGAATCTGTACCACCATCCTTCCTTGCAGCGAATGAGTTGGTGACTCATTTCCGGGGTTTGCTTGCTGAAGTCTTCCCATAGATTCAATGGTTTCTGGTGCAACACGTTCTATCAGTTGGAACATATTTTCTGTTCATTTCTCCCACCAACAAACCTAATGACTTTTCTGTCCTCACTAAGAATCTGCTGCACACTGTGGCTGCAACGTTGCAGTTTGAAGTACAACAGAAAAACGAATCAGATGTCTTGTTCCACCACCACAACTTCACAGATACAAGGTTAGCTCTTACTCAGATTTTAGCAGTCTCAGCATTAGATTTTTTATTATTTCCTTTATTAAGTCAAGAACTTTCACCTCTTCATAGAGGAAACACTTTATGGCCTCTCTTGGGCATCTCTGAAGTGCCAGTATGACTGTTCTTGTGCTCTGGAGCCATTATTAAGTAAAACCAAGGTTATTTGAAAACAAATATTGCCGACTCATGACTTTCAACCCGATAACTGAGACAGCCACAAGGTGGGGAGGAGCAAGATTCCATCCTGACACTCAGGATGGTGCAACAGTTTAAAAACTTCTGTTTCTAGAATTTTCTATTTAATGTTCCCAGACCAATATTGACCATGGGTAAATAAAACCACAAAAAGCAAAGCCATGGATGGGGGTGAGAGAAAACTGTATTGGCATAAAATTGTCCAATGACTCCTTTCCTCTCTCCACAGGCCCGGGCAAAGTGACTTTAAAATCCCTCTGTTTCAAAGGAGGAAACCCAGTCCTTTATCTCCAGAGTTTAGGCTGACCTTACAACTTCCACTAGCTACTAAACTACAGACTTATACATTGACAATTACAGTACTCTGAAAAAAGAGAACCAAAAAGATTTCAGAAAATGGAAAATATCCCTTGATGATGGATAGGAAGAACCAACATCATGAAAATGACCTTAATCCCAATCAAAATACCATTAGCATACCTCATAAATCTAGAGAAAATATTTGTAAAATTCATGTAGAAGCAGAAGCGACCTAGAATGCTGACTGCAATCCTGGGCAACAAAGGCAAAGCAGGAGGCATTACATTCCCTGACTCAAAATTATACTACAAAGCTACTCTAATAAAATCAACATGGTACTGGAAAAAAATAGACCTGAGGATCAGTGAAACAGAATAGAAGATGCAGATACAACTACATCAGCTGCATCATCTTTGACAAAAGGGCCAAACATGTTCACTGCAACAAAGATAACCTCTTTAATAAACGGTCTTGAAAAAGCTGACATTTCACATGCCAAAGACTTAAACTAGACCCATATCTCTCACCATGCACTAAACTAACATAAAATGTATCAAATATCTAAATAGTAAAACAGAAACAGTAAATGTTCCAGAAGACAAAGTAGGCAGAAATCTTGAAGACATAGGAGGAGGTAGAGTCATGAACAAAAACCAAACTACATGGAAAATAATTCAAAGAATCAGCAAAAGGAATGTCATCTTATTCAAAAACTTTTCCATATCAAAAGAAATCACCAACACAGTGAAAAGAAAAACCATAGAATGGAAAACAATTTTAGCCAACTGTTCCTCAACAAAGGACTTCTATATAGAACATATAAAGAGGTTTTTAAAATCAGGTCCCCAGATTCAAAGACCCAACCCAGAAATGGACATCTGAGATGATGTCCATTTACTTCT